GGTGGGATTCGAACCTACGACCTTTGGAATACTAGCCCAATGCTCTTCCAACTGAGCTACGCGGTCAGGACGGTTCGAGTAAGTGATATTTCGGAACAGTATCTAGTTCCTTCAATACCAATGTGTTCTAGTAATATGAACACATTGGTAAAAAATCATATTACTAGAACACATTGGTATTGAAGGAACTAGATACTGTTCCGAAATATCACTTACTCGAACCGTCCTGACCGCGTAGCTCAGTTGGAAGAGCATTGGGTTAGTATTCCAAAGGTCGTAGGTTCGAATCCCACCGTGGCCGGGCATATTTTTCAAGCTCGCCCGGTGTGGATATGCACTCAGAGTAACATCGCAAACATATTATTCACCTGAGTACACAACACCAACACAGAAAAAAAAAGTTGTATTTTTGTTCTTGTTTGGCGCATGAAACTATAGATAAAACGATTAAAACCAAGCAAACAGTCGGTACTGCAAGATTAATTAATTTTCCCGCAAAAATGAATAAATTCATATCACGTGCGAGGAATTTTTAATAGGCAAGTATGTCTTATTTCTATTTATATCGTGCTTTTGTCGTGTTGCTTTGAAAGCCCCTAATTCCAGTGCAGATTCTTCCCCCCCCCCCTGGCGGAGTGTTTCGAACGAGGAGGCCAGGTTGCTGAGCAGCTCTCGTGGCGACGATCATGGGGTTAGCGCGTCTGTCGAAAATGGAAATTTGTACTTTTGACAAACAAAGTTCGTCGTGTGTCGCGGGAATTGCCGCGATGGTGAAGAAACCACGTTCTTTCGAAAGAGGAACGTTCGTGCTATTAGACGATGTGAAATTTATTGCTCTGCGACGATTCTGAGGCGAGATATTGGACTCGATGTCGGAGGGTGTATCAGATAAGTGGCTAGCCTTGTAGTTATTTATGTCCTATACGGCCATGTCGTCCAGTGCCATAGTACTGACGACCGTTCAAGTACGACGAAAACGTAAAGCAATCGCATCAACTAGACTCAGAAACACAACAAATGGATTCTATTAACAAGTGATATATATTTTTTACATATATTGTTAATATTTTTTGAATTATTTTGTTATTTTAAAATATTATAACGGTTAAATATTCAAAATATATAGGACGTTCAGAGATTGGGCCGCCTGTGTTTGAATATCAACTTCTAAAACAAAAACATGCTTATTAATTGGGCAAAAATTAGTAAAACAAACGAGAAAATATAGCAAATGGGTAGACTAGACATTAATTGAAAGCGTCCTGGCATTTAAAGTATGGAATGAAATATAATTCATGTAAAAAAATGTTGATTTTAACGGACACGACTTCCAAAATTTTTGCTAAATTATTCAAAACAAAAATTCAAACTAAAAAGCTTCTTAACCCACTCAAATTGTAGAATAAATCCTAAAGTTTAATTATTGTGAACACGCAAATTTTTTATATTTGGCGACACAGTTTTTTTTAAAGAAATGTATCTCAAACGAAAATTCGGAAATTGTCATTGCTTTAATAGTTGATAAACAAAATGTTTCACATGATAAATTTGTCAACAATCCAGGCCCGTAGCTGAGGCACAGAAAAGACAATGGTCTATTTTCTATTCTGTGGCTGAGGGGGGGCCTGGGGGGGCAATGCCCCCTCGCTCGGTGGGGCAGTGCCCCCCAGTGCCCCCCCACTCCGAAATTTGGTATTAAAAATAGAGATAAAAGATGTGGAAACCAATTGTAATCATGGGACAAATTCTGTAAATTTTGTGGTTAATTTTGTGATTTTTCGAAAAATTTTGTTAGTTTTCTGAAAAATTTTGTATGTCCGGAAAAAATTGGTATGTCCGGAAAAAATTAAAATGGTACACTGACCGAAATTTTTTTGGCGACGGGGGGGGGGCGCCAAATAAAATTAGGGAAAAAAAATTTTCTCATCTCAAACCCTCTGTTACATTCTTTCTGCAGTGCCCCCCCAGAAATTGAGAGCCAGCTACGGGCTTGCAACAATCACCTTTAGTTCATGTTCTTGTACAATACAATTTCTTGAACCTTCTGGCTGTATTTATTTCTAGTTTTTAGAATGACATGTTTATTTTTGCGCTTGAAATCTGGCTGTAAAGACGCACAATGAAGTCACTCCTTTTTACCGCCATTTTGAGCCTTCGGAAACGTTCGGAACAGCTTCTCATTCTTCTCATCAAGTTCGCAATACTATTACAGGTAAGGTTGACGCATGCGCAGACGTTTTTCCGCGGTGTTTGGGGGGGCGTGGGGGTGGGGGAACACCGCGGAAAAACGTCTGCGCATGCGTCAACCTTACCTGTAATAGTATTGCGAACTTGATGAGAAGCTGTTCCGAACGTTTCCGAAGGCTCAAAATGGCCGCAAAAAGGAGTGACTTCATTGTGCATCTTTACAGCCAGATTTCGAGCGCAAAAATAAACATGTCATTCTCAAAACTAGGAATAAATACAGCGAGAAGGTTCAAGAAATTGTATTGTGCAAGAACATGAACTAAAGGTGATTGTTGACAAATTTATCGTCTGAAACATTTTGTTTATCAACTAAGCAACGACAATTTCCGAATTTTCGTTTGAGATACATCTCTTTAAAAAAACTATGTCGCCAAATATAAAAAATTGTCGTGTTCACAATAATTAAACTTTAGGATGTATTCTACAATTTGAGTGGGTTAAGAAGCTTAACTTTTCGAGATTTTTCTTAACTTTTTAGTTTGAATTTTTGTTTTGAATAATTTTGCAAAAATTTTCGAAGTCGTGTCCGTTAAAATCAACACTTTTTTACATGAATTATATTTTATTCCATACTTTAAATCCCAGGATGCTTTCAATTAATGTCTAGTCTACCCATTTGCTATATTTTCTCGTTTGTTTTACTAATTTTTGACCAATTAATAAGCATGTTTTTGTTTTAAAAATTGATATTCAAATTCCCCGCCATATTTTCATAATTTGGTGCATGCGCAGACGTTTTTACGCGGTGTAGGGTGGGGGTTGGTGGGGGTGGGTCCACTGAGCTATAATATTACTGGAGGACGTGCTCCTATCTATCCGTCAGTCAAACGAGTGTCCGGAAAAACATGGCGGATTTTCATGTTTGCTGCAGTGAACTATATACATGGAAGGCTGACTTCAGTCAGTTACGTAATCAAAAAGTGAAGTCAAAGATGGCGGATTTTGAAGCCATTCTTGCGCGTCATTCTCAGTCTCCTTACCCGCGCGGCAAAACATTTTTTGTATTTTCATGGCGGGAAGTGATGGATCCGCGACTCTCGGGTTGTGTTTTTCTTCATTTTAAAAGAGCAAAAAAGAAAATAAACTTTATTTATTTCATGTAAACCTGATTTCCTTCATCTAATCTATCAGTCTGCTGCATTTTCCCACTGTATGTGTGAGTAAATCTGTATTTTTCGTTGCGAATTTAAACACTAATTTCAAACTTTTTTTTTTTTTTTTAATAAATCTGTATTTTTACTGATAAATAGGGAATTTATTTGAGCTTTGGTTGTTTCGCTTTCTTGTTTTTATGGTGATTTTCAGTTTTCACACCATTATTTAGCTTATTTTAGTCCGTTTTCCTGACCTAAAATTGCTTTTTAACTGCACTTTTCGAGCCAGTTTTTATCTAATTTAATTCCATACATGCAAGAAAATTTTGTTTTTTTATTTTTATTTAATAAAATCACTATGATGATTGTCTTATAAACTTAAACTGTTTATTTTAATGAGTTATTTATATGTGTGAAACCCTTGTCAATAGGGGCAATACAGATATTTTGAAAGATTGAGTGACATTTGTGTTTTGTTTGTCACTCCTTGTCATTTACAAAAACAACAATCCCGCGCTATTTTGCTTTCTTTCCACTCAAATATCGCATCTTTTAAATAAATAATAATTAAAATTTAGAACTGAACCCAAACAAAACACCAGAATTCAACTTTTCATTCATATCTAGTCTGTTTTTCACCAGATTTACGGAAAATAAAGAAAAATATAAAAAAAGTTTGGCCGCGCACGTAAGGGGACTGAGAATGACGCGCAAGAATGCCTTCAATTGACCACTTGCGTAATAGCGATGCCCGCTAAGCATGACGGTAGGAGGCTGTAGGTTGCTTTCGAACGAAATGGCTGTCGCATGAGCGAGCGATTTCGTTCGGGAGGAAACAACGACGGATTTTTTACTCTATTCGGCTTCGATCAATAGCAATTTTGTGTGGAAAATAACGAGGGTGTTTGGCAGTGCTCATGTAGAAAATTTAAAGAAATTCGGCTCATTAGTGGCGAAGAAAATTTGTTGTGAAGACGACCAGTTGTACACACACCTCCCCTAAATTCGCTCGCGAAAACTTGACCACATCAACCAAACAGGTGAGTTAGCTTTTCTACTGGCGATCGGCTAAATTTTTTTGAAAAATAAGCCCAATCGATAGTTAATCTCATTAGATTTCAAGGTTATTTTAATCCTATAGCTTCAAAAATGCCATTTTTAGCTTCATGAAAATGACAAATGTTAGCCAAAATTTTGTTCGAATTTGCCATTGCCAGCCACTAAGCCTGACAAAATGTTTTGAAGATGTTTTGGCGCGAAAATATCTGAATTTAAATGAGTTGTTTCTAGCTGTAACAAGAAAATATAAAGTTGAAAGTGTTTTTCATCGTTTTCTGCTGTTGTTTTGTCCTCGAGCTGAAGTTTGCTTTGGTTCTTATCCTTCATTCTAGTTCGATAAAATACCCGTGAGTTAAAACATAATATTTACATATAAATTATTAATTTAAATTAGCAAAGTCTTGTATTAATAAATTTTTAGCTAGCATATAAACATTAGATAGGATTATTTTAATTAAATTAATAGGAAGTCAATTTAAAATTAGGTAGATAATAACTATAGGATTAAACAACTCACATAGGGCTAAGGCTAAGCAAATAAAATATTTTAAATAATATAATGGAGGGTGAAACAAGCACTTCACATGAGGCAAACAATGCTGCTACAGAATTGAAAAGGTGGACAAGGGACTTACATGGCCTCCCATCATTTACGTATGAGTTACTAACTAAGCATTTTGGAACTGAACATGCTGGTGCTGGTGCTCAAAAACACAAGAAACTAGGTTATCAATTGTTTAAAGATAAATATGTTGGGCAAGTTGAGGTTAAAAAAAATGTCACGAAAGGCA